AGAAAAGAGTGCAGCACCAAAGAAAGAGCTAGGAAAGGACAGAAAGGAAGAAGAAAAGAGTGCAGCACCAAAGAAAGAGCTAGGAAAGGACAGAAAGGAAGAAGAAAAGAGTGCAGCACCAAAGAAAGAGCTAGGAAGGAATAGAAAAGGAGAAGAAAAGAGAGAAAAGGAGAGTAAAGAAGAAGAAGAAAGGTGTTCAGCTTTAAAGAAATACTCAAAGGTTGATAGTAAGGAGAAATCACTTACAGACTCCAACGGTGTCACTGAGGAAAAGGCTCCTCTAGCACCAGAGACGGAGCCTAAACAGATCCCAGAAAACAGCTCCTTAAAACCTGTGGATAGCCCCCCAAGCCAGACCAAGGAAGAGGAAGAAGCAGCCTCCAGTATCTTTGATGAGCCCTTAGAAAGAGTGAAGAATAATGATCCAGAGATGACAGAAGTCAATGTCAATAACTCCGACTGCATCACTGGTGAAATCCTGGTGCGCTTCACAGAGGCCTTGGAATTTAACACCATGGTCAAAGTGTTTTCACTGGCCAATACCCGTGCTGATGACCATGTCGCATTTGCCATCGCCATTATGTTGAAGTCAAACAAGACACTAACCAGCATCAATCTGGACTCTAACCACATCACAGGTAAAGGGATCCTGGCCATCTTCCGTGCGCTGCTGCAGAACAACACCCTGACAGAGCTGCGTTTCCATAACCAGAGACACATCTGCGGGGGGAAGACAGAGATGGAGATAGCCAAGCTACTGAAGGAGAATACCACCCTCCTGAAGCTGGGCTATCATTTTGAACTGGCAGGTCCCCGCATGACAGTCACAAACCTGCTGAGTAGGAACATGGACAAGCAGAGGCAGAAACGGCTGCAGGAACAGAAGCAGGTTCAGGAACGTAGCGAGAAGAAGGACCTGCTAGAGGTGCCAAAGGCAGGCGGCTTGCTAAAGGGGTCCCCCAAGCCTTCGCCACAGTCATCCCCAAAATCTTCCCCGTGGTCTTCCCCTAAAAGTTCTCCTAAGAAGGGTGGGCCTCCGGCTGCACCTCCCCCACCCCCACCTCCACTAGCCCCACCCCTGATCAATGAAAATATAAGGAATTCTCTCTCTCCAGCCACCCAGAGGAAGATGGTGGAGAAGGCACTTCCTGCTCAGGAGAAGAACTCAAGGGACCAGCTATTGGCGGCCATTCGATCCAGCAATGTCAAACAGCTAAAGAAGGCAAGTGAGGGGCCAAGGAGCTGGGATCTCCACAGAACATTACCAGGTTCATTGGGTGACCCAAGATTTCAGGTCTAGCTTTAGGTTCTTTCCCTCCCACACCCCCACCCACCCCAGCGTTTGAGTCCAAGCACATTTGGACATCACATTCATGTCACCTGAGTACTGAATAAGGGAGGCCTAACCTGCTTTGGAGAGCCTCTGTGTGCTAGCCAATCAGAACCAACCTCTGGAATGGAATTCTGGCACGTTAGTCAGTTCCCTAGATCTTCTCGCCGTTTGCCTCGGCAAAGCCCGGTAACCCCAAAGCGACTGGCTGAAGGCTCCTGAGCAGTTTTGCTATATTCTTTCCAGCAGACAAATTCTGGTCCCACCCCATTTAAGTCAATGGCCAGTTGCTGGGGGACCAAGATTTGGCTTCAGATGAGCTCAATAGCCTGAAAATTCCTGTGAGTCACCAGCCGACAGTGGGTGAGCCCAGATTCCCCAGGCCCACGGGCACTTAGTCTCTGGGGTGTTTCTACACTCTGAGGTTGAGGATTTTCTACAATGTCTCCCTCAATAATCCAGCCACAGATAACTGGGCATGTGTTCAATGTAGTACCCAGAGGCATGTGCCATGGGACCCAGCTGAGCCAGGTGTTAGTGGGGTGAACATCTGTCTTTTTCGCCATCTCAGCCCAGTGCCGATGTCTGAGCTCAGGTGATACACCACAGGCTCTGTCTGGCTCAGTTTGAGGCCAGAGATCTCCTGTTAGAGTCAAGTGTGAAGGCTGGTGACTCAGGTGAATAGTAATGGGGTGCCCTGTCTCTCAGCAGTGGCTTGGGGAATTGCAGGCCCCACCTGAGTTGCCCATATTGCAACTGGTTTTCTGGCATCAGTGAGAGGCACAGATTGAACGACCCATGGAGACTGAATTCCCCTCGACCCTCTCGAGCTGGGACAGGGAAAAGAGCCCTGAGCTGCCGCTGCTGCCTGCCCACTGGAGAGAGAGTCACTCCCCATGGCTACTAATCCAACACCTGGCTCACACTCAATTCATTTAAAAATAAACAAGCCCAACCCATTCCAGTAACCCCCTGGTTCCAGTCCTGTGCCAAAGGGTAACCAACCCTTTTATCTTGGCAGGTGGAGGTCCCAAAACTATTGCAATAGGACATGGAAGCTGGATCTCCCGCATGGATGAGACCTGTGGCAGAAAATAGGACATTAGCCTTTCTTATGACTGTTTACATGACCAGTCCTTGGGGACTCTGCAGTGGCCACCTGCCTGCCCCAGAGCTGGAGGAGCAGTGTTCTCTGTGGGGTCCAACTGAGGGGGGCAGCCCTGAGAAGGGCCCTGGGGTCATTGGATGCAGTGTGTGCGGCAGACCTGGTATTCATTTTTACAATTTAAAAAATCTTAAAGCTCTTTCTTTTAGCCAGCACCAGCATGCGACGTGCCAGTGCAAGATGGGGGCAGGGTTACAGGAATGGGGGGAGGGTGGTTGTTCCTGTTGCTGCTGACAGAGTTTGGAGCGTGCGTAGTTACCAAGTGCAGCAGATGCAGGATGGATGTCCCTAAATGTCTGGGTCCACATCTCCAGAACCACGTGGCTCTGCCAATACAGAACAGCACACAGACAGCAACCGGCACCCCAAAGAGCCTTGCTTTGCTCTCAGCTTGGAGGCTGTCGGGCAGAACTGGCAGCGGGACATTGTCTAGAGTGATGCAGAGCCAAACTCAGGAAAATGCTTGGGGGAGAAATGAATTGCCATTCCTCTCTGCAGGTTCAGGATCTCCAGTGCCCTGAAAAGGAAAAGGGAACGTACGGTGCAAGGGGAGAGACGCTGACTACCACAGACAGTTAGTATTGGCTGAATGTGTTGCGGGGGGCTGGGGAGATACACCTGATGCTGATATTTTGTGTAAAGAAATAACTGAAATTTGCAGAGGGCTGGCCCAGAGATGTCACCTCCCCCCAGTATCTTCAGGGCTCAGTGCAGCCACTGTCTAGTGCCATGCTTTACATGACTGATCCTGCTGTTACTGTGCTGCTGCCCTTAGTGCTGGACACACATGGTGGGGACTGGCAAGCAGAAAGCAGGGTTTTTGCTGAGAGAACACTGCTCCTGGTTTTCAGACCCAGCTGTCCATGAGGGAGGCACTGGGAAGGATGTGCTTGGCTTGCAGGCTGTAGCCCAGCATGCCCAGAGCCCTCACTTTGCATGTGACATGTGTGTGCTCTAGCTCAGCTTTGTCAATGGCCGTGGGGCTGTGCGTGCTCCCCACCCACCTGCCCTTCAGCTGAGCACAATGGAGGGCAGGTTCAGAGGTGGCGCTAGCACATGTACCTCAGGGGCAGCCCAGCCTGGCTGACGCACACTCTGCTTTTCTCGGGAGTGCAGGCAACTGGATTTGTCTCGCTATTGGCTTCACAGACTGTAACTTTCCAAGGAGGCTCTGAACTCCCAGGAGATTTGCCGACCTTAGCACAGGAACAGCTGCAGCTGCAGCGCTGCTTTCCAATGGCCCCTAATCCCCTGGAAGAAATAGCTAAGGGTTAATGATCAGAGTTGCTCCTTGTGCACCATTCAGTGTGGAGTGAAAAATGTGTGGGGATGAGGGGCCTGTGTGCCAGTGGAGGGGGGTGTCTGTCAGTGGAGCAGAGGAGGGTGGGGTCTGTGCTGGGTGGGACAGCAGGAGGGTGGGTCCTGTGCTGGTGGAGCAGAAGCAGGGGAGTCTGCGCCAGTAGAGAGAGCAGGGAGGTCTGCCCCAGTGGCTCAGGGACTGGGGGGGGGGGGTCGTGTGCCAGAGGAGCAAGGGGGGGTCTGCACCTGAGGAGCGGGGGGAGGGTCTGTGTCAGAGGAGCAGAGGGGGGCTGCGCCTAAGGAGCTGGGGAGGTCTGCATCGGTGTAGCGGGGCAGGTTTAGGGAATCACACCCTGGGGTCTGCTCTTGTGTGCCCCATGCCTGCCTGTCCACACCCATTCTCTGGGCTCATCGCTTTGCGTGCCTTTAAATCCCCTTTGGCCACATGCTGCGTCATTTTCACAGTAGACCAGGTACCCTAAGCCACCATTGTCAGGGAGAGGGGGCCCTGACTCTGAGAACTGCTGTCTGGGGAGGGGGCAATTCCCTCCTGAGCTGTTCTTGCCAAAGCACAGGGCAGGGCCCCAGTGGAGCGCTGTCCCAGGCCCAGGCTGTTCTCAGAGCCCCGTCAGATGGCCAGCAATGAGAAAGCAGGAGGCTGTTGACGTGCTGCTGATCCGTGGCCCTCCTGAGCCTGGGTGAGATGAACTGAGGGGCGATAACACATCAGCATGAGGGGAACCTCCCACTGCTCAATGTCACAAGGTAGCACCTGACTCCACAGGCACCAGCTTCTTCCTTGCCCTGGGGGGTGCTCAACCCCTGCTCCACCCCAGGCCCTGGCCCCACTCCACCCCTTCCCCCTCCCCATCTCTTCCTGCCCAGTTCTGCGCCCACCCCCAAGTACACCCTGTCCCCAATCCTCCCACTCCCCTCAACACCTTCTGCACACCGCGGAACAGCTGATTGCAGTGGGCGGAAGGCGCTAGGAGGAAGGGGGAGGAGTTGATCAGCAGGGCAGCAGGTGGGCGGGAGGTGCTGGGTGGCGGGAGGAACTGGTTGCTGGTGGGTGCTAAGCACCCACTAATTTTTTTCCATGGGTGCTCCTGCCCTGGAGCCTCCAGCCCTGGAGCACCCATGGAGTCAGCGCCTATGCCTGACTCACCTGCTGGTGCCTGTAGCTGCACCCAAGTCCAAAAGCCATCTCAGGTCCTGTAAGTCCCAGTTTCTGAAAGGGGGCAGCAGGCGTGGCCAGCCCAAGGCACAGCCCTGCCAATGTGTTGATCAATATGCAGGTGTGCTCAGATGGGGCCCCGTCTGCCTTGCTGTGCTTGGTTGCCAGGGACTGGGCCTTTGCAGCTGCTTGGTACGGCCAGTGTGAGCGCAGTGGGCTCAAGGCATGGTGCGGGCCCAGATGCTGCATGGTGCGGTAGCACGGCAAGCCAGGTAGGGCCCATGGAAGCAAAACGCCAGCCATGGGCACTGGCTGTTATGGAGCAGCACTGGAGGGGCTCTGTTCTAACTTCTCCCTGCTGCTGGATAAATACATAAGGCTGGTGTAGTTGTTCTACCATCAGATGGTGGGAATATGCTACAGCGAGCTCGGGCTCTCACACACTGCACAGGCGGGCTGCCAAGCATGACTTGCTCCAGACATGGCTTGCTTGCTGCCAAGCATGACCTGAGGAGCGAATGGCCCGCCAGGCTGTCCAATGAGAAATGAAACCACTCTGCTTTCAGGTCTGACCAATACCCCAAGTTCTCATGTCAGTGTCAGACACATGACACCTGCCTCCTTCAGGGCCTCATGTGGCAGCTGCCCTCTTGGCTAACACCAGCGATCAACCAGGGATCTCCTGAGCTAGGCTTTGTCACTTGGAGCTGCCACCCAAGCTTACTAGGCAGCTGGATGGGCCTGACCCTAGCTTGGCCAAACAAGGCACTGCGGAGCAACACAACAAGCAACTATCTTCTCGCCCCCCCCCCCCCAGGCTAAGCATGTTGATACTGCATCCATCTGAGACCCCACATCAGGTCTGGGGGATCTCAACAGGCGCCAATCCCTGATCTCCCTGGGCCTGACAGAGCAAGACCCAGTCACTGAGCTGGCCCAACACCCACTGATACTCATGAGTAACCCACTCAAAAGACCTGCCAGCAGCATCTTGAAGATGTGGGGGACAATGTTGCATGATCTGCTACTGCACAGAGTACAAGCTACCTACCAACCCCATGCTCTGAGTGTCCTGCCCCATTGTCTCAGAGGCACAGGCAGTGTGTGCTAATGAATAGCGTAGACCTCAGAGCCAGGAACAGCTCAGTTCTAACCCACCACTGATGCTGACTCCCTGTAGCCCTAGCAAAGTAATATAGTCTCGCTGCTTCAGTGACTCTCAGTATAACAAGGGACTAATGCCCATCTCAGGAGGGTGGGGGGGGCAGCGTTTCATTAGTGTCTGCAAAGGGCTTTTTAAATGCTGGAGATGCTGATTTATAAACAGAAGCCAAGTCACGTTCCTCCAGAACCACCCAGTGGGGGCTTCATCCTTCCTCGCAGGAAGGGAAGGACATTGTGGAGAATACACTGAAAAGTGTGAAGCTACAACCAAACACCGCAGCTGTTTTCAGCTCTGTCCTCTGTGACGGTGAAACCTGTTTGCACCATGTACAACATCACCCACCGTGTCACTAATAAAGCTCACCAAACACTGCCTGTGATCAATATGGATGGCTCTGGGGTTGGGGGAAAACAGCCCACCTGGGGCTTGCTGCAGAGTTTACCAGAGCAGGGCAGCGCTGCAGCAACATGACTCCTGCCCTTGGCTGCAGGTGAAGATGGGCCCAGGCTGTGGGTGTGCCAGTGGCACTAATGGTAATGTGACTGGCCTGGGTTGGAATTAAACCACCAGGGAGAATTTGCACCAGAGGGAACTGTTGCATCTGTGCACACAGCTGATTTGGGAACACATTGTTCCTTGTGTAAATAGGCGTTTAAATGGGAATTCTGCTGCTCCTGCTGGTTGTTGGCAGGACACTCCTTCTCCTAATGGGGGATGCTGAGGGCTTCAGGCACATTAAGATAAATGCTCAACTGCTGGGAAACTCCAGAGCTGCTGGGCAAACCTGCCAGAGCAAAGCACCTAACCAGTGCAAAGTAAAGGACAGTGATTGGAGGCTCTGGCCTGAGTCGCTCCTTGCTTGTCCAGTGCAAACTGGGGGTAGGGTTACCAACTTTCTAGCTGCACAAAACTGAACATCCTAGCTCCGCCCCTGCCCTGAGGCTGCCCCCCCCCCCCACTCACTACATTCCCCTTCCCTCAGTGGCTTGCTCTCTCCCACCCTCACTCACTTGCACTGAGCTGAGGCGAGGGGTTGAGATACGGGAGGTGGTGAGGGCACTAACTGGGGGTGCAGGCTCCAGGGTGGGATGAAATGAGGGATTCAGGGCACAGGCGTCAACTTTTTTTTTCTCCGGTGGGTGCTCGTGCCCCTGGCCTCACCCTTGCCCTGACTCCACCCCTGCCCCAAAGTCCCCGCCCTAACTCCACCCCCTCCCTGCCCCTATTGGATCCCTCCTCAAATCCCGGCCCCGCCTCATCCCACAAGCATGCCACATTTCCCCCCTCCCTCCCAGGCTTGCCGAGCGTAACAGCTGTTTTGCGGCGAAAGTGCTGGGAGGGAGGGGGGAGAAGCAGGACGTGGCGGTGCACTCAGGGGAGGAGGCGGAGCGGAGGCGAAGGTGAGCTGGAGCGGGGGGCAGGGAGCTGCCGGTGGGTGCTGCAGCCCCGGAGCACCCACGGAGTTGGCACCTATGATTCAGGGTACGGGATGGAGCTCCGGGCTGGGGCAGGGATTTGGGCTGTGGGAGGGGGTGAGAGCCCCGGCAGGGGGTGTGGTCTCTGGGGTGGGGGGCTGGGGATGAGGGGTTTGGGGTGCAGGAGGGTGCTCCAGGTTTGGGGATTGGGGCTCAAGGTTGGGGCGTGGGCTTATCTCAGGCGTCTCCCAGTCAGTGGGGCTAAGGCAGGCTGCCTGCCTCTCCTGGCACTGTGCTGCATGGTCCCTGGAAGCGGCCAGAAGGTCCAGGTCCTAGGTGGGGGGAGCAGGAGGCACCACCCCCCAAGCTCCCATTGGCTGGTTCCCAGTGCTTGGGGCGGGGACAGCGGCACATGGAGCCCCATAGCCTCCCTCACACACACCTAGGACCCGGACCTACTGGCAGCTTCTGGGACACCGCGTAGCACAGTGCCAGGATAGGTAGGGACTAGCCTGCCTTAGCGCTGCAGCACCAACCGGACTTTTAACGGCCCAGTCGGCGGTGCTGACCGATACCTCGAGTCCCTTTTCGACAGGGTGTTCCGGTTGAAAACCGGACACCTGGTCACCCTAGGGCCACACGCACCACTGACCCCAGTGGAGAGTCTCTGGTGAAACCCAAAAGCAATGAGACTAGCTGGGCCCTCCATACACTTGATGAATGGCAGGGCCAGGCATGGAGGCTGGGTCGAAGCTTCATAAACTCCAAACTGATTTTCCCTGGTAACCTAAGTCCAGCAGATGAGTCCAGGTCTCCAGAGCCGAACAGCCAATGGAAGACCAACCCACAGAGCCTCATGGCAGTAGCAGCCTTTCTTCAGTGTCCAGGAGGAGCAGAGATTTGGTGCTGAACCTCCTGCAGCTGGGGTGGAGGGCGAAGGTGGGTCGATGACCATCAGGAGGGGAGGCACTATCGCAGCACAGGGCTTTGGCTCTGGAGCTCAGAGATCTGCCAGAGAACAGCCAAGGCTGTAGTGTCAACCTGGCGCAAAGCCATCGCTACAGCTTAGCTCCCCCTCCGCACAACCCACAGACACCCAGCACACCTGCTCCCAGCACACCCACACAGAGTGCACACCCACTCCCAGCACACCTGTTCCAGCACATCCACACCCAGCACACCCACTTAGAGCACACCCAAGCCCAACACACCCAGCACATTCATCACCACACACACACACCCCTCAGCTGAGAGAACCTTACAGGCAGACAAGCACTCACCCAACACTGTCCTCTGGGTCCTTTCCAAGCAAGGACAAAGCTACTACAGAGCTACTCCTCTGCCCACTGGGACGGCCCATGTGTGATCACTGGCAATGGGACCAAAGGCTGAACCCAAAACATCAGCATGGGCACGTCACCACCCTGTGC